TATTTAAGTTTCATAATTACAAACCATTTGACCTCCGGAGATGAATTGTTGCATTGTGAATATTATTCTTTCTAATAAGCTTCGGTATTTAGAAAATGGCATGTAAACAATGTAGGTTAAAAACTATGTAAGTTTATTGACTTAAAATGTCAATTTTTTTCCTGATTACATTTCACAGTGGTCCAATATTAGGATTCATTGTGATTAAGGAGTATTTGAGTGAGCTCTACCATTTTCCTTCCTGTCAAATCTGGGCAAATTTTTCTTTTTCTTTTTTTGAAGATGATATAGAGGATAGATAGATGATAGATAGATTTATTTGTTATTTATTTATTTATTTATTTATTTATTTATTTATTTATTTATTTATTTATTTAAAGAGAAAGAGAAGGAGCAGGAGGCAGGAGGGCAGAGGGAGAGAAAGAGAGAGAATCTCAAACAGACCGCCCTGAGCACAGAGCCGGCTGTGGGGCTCAATCCCAGAACCATGAGATCACGACCAGAGTGGAAATCAAGAGTCAGAAGCCCAACCAACTGTGCCAGCCAGGCTCCCCATGGGTAAACTTCCTAAACTCTGAATTGAGTCTCCTCATTTTTATTTTTTATTTTTATTTATTTTAGAATATCTATTTTTTTAATAAATTAATTTTTATTGGTGTTCAATTTGCCAACATACAGAATAACACCCAGTGCTCATCCCGTCAAGTGTCTCCCTCAGTGCCCATCACCCATTCACCCCCACCCCCCGCCCTCCTCCCCTTCCACCACCCCTAGTTCGTTTCCCAGAGTTAGGAGTCTTTATGTTCTGACTCCCTTTCTGATATTTCCCACACATTTCTTCTCCCTTCCCTTAAAAGGTAGCCTGATTAGTTGCTGAGATACAATGCACATGTTAACAAATTCTTCTGGCATATGGCAAGGGCTCTATAAATAAATACTGTTAGTTATCCCTCTTCCCCCAACAAAAAGGAAAAAGAAAAAAGCAAATTCAGTTCCCTAAAATTGTTTTAGCTGTTTTAATATTTTAAACCAGTAAATGTCTTGAGATGCGTGGGTGGCTCAGCGCTTGGGCGGCTGCCTCTGGCTTCGATGGTGACCCCAGGTCCAGGATCGAGTCCCAAATTGGGCTCCTGTGAGGAGCCTGCTTCTCCCTCTGCCTATGTCTCTGCTTCTCTCTCTGTCTCTCATGAATAAATAAATAAATACTCCAATAAATAAATAAACCAGTAAAAGTCTTTACTCCCACTTTAATTAACCCCATTAATCACGCATATTCATGTACTTTTCCAATCTATTTGCAAATAGTCTTCCTCATGCATATAGGCCACACAATTCATAAATGTAATATCAGTCAGGTTACTGAGTTATTCTAGTATCTTAAAATTATCAGCAATACTACAGGATATAAGAAATGTATTTTCTAAGTATTCCTAGGCAATTGTTATCATGAGAATGAATTATTCTTAAATGATTCTGATGTAAACAAGGATTCACGTCATTTTGAAATATTAATAAACATTACTGATAGAGTAATTAGTACTTCAGCTTATTGCATCAAGTTTCATATTTAGAACACTTTGGAAACACTAATATTCTATTTCTCATAACTAATTTAGAATAATTCTACTCTTGAATAATGTAAACTATTACTTACATTATTATTATTACCTCATAATGTTTTACCAATTTCATATTCCTTAGAAATGAAGTTTAAAAATGCCCATGATGCTTTGTTGTTTTTTTTTTTAATTTTCATAGCTGGTCTTAAAATATACATATATGATGTTAACTGAATTGTGTGGCAAGGACCCTTGTTGCAATCATCAATTCTGAGTAATTATGTCTAAGGTGTGTTGAGATGTTAAAAACAGTTTAGATACCATCGAAGTTCTTCATTACCTAGTGGATAGAGTCTAAATTCCTCAATCTAGAAGTCAAGTCTGTTAACCACTTAATATAACATACATTTCCTTTAAAAAAATTAAGATTTTATTTATTTATTCATGAGAGACACATAGAGAGAGGCAGAGACACAGGCAGAGGGAGAAGCAGGCTCCACGAAGGGATCCCGACGTAGGACTCGATCCCAGGTCTCCAGGATCACACCCTGGGCTGAAGGCGGTGCTAAACTGCTGAGCCAGCCGGGCTGCCCTATAACATACATCTCCACTACTGAAACTTTCTCCTTGGAGCATATTCACATACTTTTTAAAATCCCCACAGACCACATTCTGTTCTAGAGCGCTCTTCATTTTACCTCTGCTGAAATGTGATACTCTTCCCAAATTTCTCTTTCCCTCATGTCAAACTCCAACTCTATCAGACAATGCATCAGTTTCTTCATCATATTTCTGAAAAATTTTTTGACTGGAATTTATCTCTTAAAATATTTCATAATTTTATCCTTTTCTTATTTTAAAAACAATCTGTGCTATTTCAAGGGGAAAAAAAGACCCAAATAAATACATTAATTAATTAATTAATATAGCATAAAACCATTTCATAATACCTCCAACTAGGGAAAAAAAGATCTCACATACTTTCTCTCACAAACTTGGTTTTGTGCATATTGTACATACTATTATACATTTTCACAGAACAGGATGATACTGTGTATATTCTTTTGTGAACCATTTTATCTTAACAAAGCATGAACAATTTCCATGTCAATATATCTATTTTTTAACTGCTGTAACATATAATTATTATATGTTTTTATCTAAATTGTGTACATAATAATAAACACACATTATGTCCACCAACCAACATAAAAACAGAATTGGGGCATTATCAGTTTACTGACATTAGCTGGGTATTTTATTTTTTATTTTTATTTTTTAATGATAGTCACACACACAGAGAGAGAGAGAGAGAGAGACAGAGACACAGGCAGAGGCAGAAGCAGGCTCCATGCACCTGGAGCCCGACGTGGGATTCGATCCCGGGTCTCCAGGATCACGCCCTGGGCCAAAGGCAGGCGCTAAACTGCTGCACCACCCAGGGATCCCCTAGCTGGGTATTTTAAAGCAAAAATTTTGCTGATTTAGTATAAAATAGTAGTTCACTCAAGTCTCAGTTTGCAATTTGTTAATTGCTAATGAGCAAGAGATACCTTTTCCTAATGTAACACAAAATTTGTTTTTCCCATTATAAGACATGACTGTATCTTTCCCCTTCTTAAATTTTGTCAATTATTTATTTATAAAGAATCTTTATATATTCTGGATATCAGTCCTTTGATTTGCAAATAACTATCCATGGTTCCAGTGTGTGTTTTTTTCATTTTCTTTTTTAATGTGTCTTCTAATAAAATGACTAGATTTCCATGTAGTCAAATCAACATATAAATTCATGTCATGATTAGTGCTTATTGCCTTTATTTAAAAAAGTTTCCTGTCCTGTAGTCATAAAACTGTTCTTCTATATCTCTTCCAAATATTTTACATATTATTTTTTCTACATTACTGAATCCACATACAATTATTTTAGTGATTCAGATGTACATATTAAATATTAATATGGATCATTGATTTTCTCAGTAATTGCTAAATAATGCACATTTCTCCAGTAACTTGCAATTCACTGATTTGTTAGATAATATCCAGTTTCCTCATTTTTATTTCAGTAAGTTTTGCAAAGTTATATTTTTCTAGAAATTTGACAACTTTATATGTGGTTTAAAATGGATTCACTTTAGGGGTGCCTGGGTGGCTCTGCTAGTTAAAAGTCCCACTCTTGGTTTTGGCTACCGTAGGTTGTGGTCTCGGGGTTGTGAGATTTGAGCACCACCCCCAGCAGAGCTACACCTTGGGATCCCCAACTTTAGGATTCTCTCTCCTTCTGCCCCTCCCCTGCCCATGCACTCTCTGTCTCTAAAATAATATTAATAATAAATGGATTGGCTTTAAAGTGTGCTACTGTTGCTAGATCTTTTAAAGTTTTGTTGTAATATAGCTATAGAAATTTTCTCATACCAAATAGTTCATTTGTACTTACCAATATTTCTACTATATTAATATTTCTTAAAGAATTATCATTTTCTGCTTAAGCTTCCTATTTGATTTTGTTTTCTACTTTTACAATTGTTTCTTCTCTCTTTATTATCAGCATTTTCTTTCTTTATTTGGGTAATTTGCAGACTTTTTAAGGGTTTTATCTTTTTTTATAACATAAGTGTTTTAGAATTATGTAGTTTTCCTAGAAAGGGTTACTTTGGCTACATTCCAAACATTTAAAATACAGCATTTTTATTAGAAATCCAATTTAGAATTTTTTAAAGGTGCATTATTATTTCCTCTTATATATATGAGTTATTTATAAATGTATTTTCTATTTATAAATATATTGTGGATTTGTTAGGTCACACAGCAAATGAGAACTAAGGTGGCAGACAGAAATAAAGCTGCCGATCCGTTGATATTAAAGTAGGGTGATTAACCTAGGTCATTTATATGGGCCCAAAGTAAAACAGGAGACCTTCGAAGTGGGCAAAAAGAACAAAAGGAAGGAGTTGTGACTGTGGAAGACACAGAGACATATAGATTTACTGAGTTTGAAGACAGGATGGGAACTATGGCTGAGGGCATGAGTGGGGGACGCCCGGGTGGCTCAGTGATTAAGCATCTGCCTTCAGCCCAGGGCGTGATCCTAGAGACCCAGGATTGAGTCCCGCCTCGGGCTCCCTGCATGGAACCTGCTTCTCCCTCTGCCTGTGTCTCTGCCTCTCTCTGTCTCTCTGTCTTTCTCTCTGTGTCTCTCATGAATAAATAAATAAAAACTTATTTTAAAAAAAAGGATATGAGTGGGCTCTAGCAGCTGGAAAAAGAGGATTGTATTCTTTTCTAGAGCCTCCAGAAATTAACATAGTTAATTGCTGAAAACTTGATTTATTTTTTTTAAATTAATTTAACTTAATCTAACCTTATGTGGCAAGTGGTTACAATATCAGGGAGTAGAGATCTTGGCAATACCCAGCACATCAGAAATGGAAGAAAGCAATCAACTGTTGAAATTTCTGTCATCTTCCTCTGGATGGAGCAAAGCAAGGCATCAAACCATTTCACAATGTTCTTTCAAGCACTGCAGGAACGTGCAGGGTCACCCCAGACCCAACCATGCTGGGGGCTTGCAGGAAGCCTTGATTTTAATTCACTGAGACCATTCCTTCAGTGAAACATCTGACCAATAGAATTTTAAGACAGTAGCCTTGCTTTCTTCCACTCAGTGTGTTGTAATTTGTCATAGGAGCAAGAGGAAGCTAATACTCTAGAATTGCACCCAACTTAGTAACATTATGACTTTGGACAAATGATTTAACCACTGTTTGAGTTTTAATTTTATTTTCTGCAAAAATGGGGATTCTAAAGTATCTTTGATATTCTTCATAATTTGAAAAAAAAAAAGCAAAATAATACTTTACCACTTTGACCTGAAGGTATATCATAATCTTGGCATATGACCTTATTCTACTATCTCTTCTCCTGGAAATGTTATGAGTTGTATCTTTTTTCACTCCCTTGGAATCACAGAGGTGTTATCATATCTCCGTCATTCTCCATCTTCAGGAGGCGTTTGTGAAGGAAGGCAAGTTGGAGCTGGGACCAATGGCACTGGTAGGACTCAGATTACAGAATCAGGGAAGAAGGCAAATTGGGAAGGAAGAAGCAAATTAAAGGAAAGCACGGAGAGGAGCATGTGTGACTTGCTCAGAAGATATGGAATACCCTGGGGGTTGCTGCAAGGGGTCTTGTCAAAATAATTTTTTTTTGATAATTGGAATAGTACATAGTTATAGAACTTATTACAGACAACTTCTGCTCACATTGGACCAAACAAAACTCCAAGATTTGTTTTTGTTAAGAACCCAGTCAGCTCTGTTTGTTTTAGGGAATGCTTTGTTGACTCCTATTTAGAGATAACTATGACACAGAACCCCACTAGAGGGTTTGTGTTTCCTCTCAACAATCCTCTAACTTTGGTAAACAATCTGGAGACTGAAGAACTAGAGAGAAACAGAGTATTAGGAAGCTTTGGGCTTTCGGGGTAAAACTGTGCCTCGGAAATACCGTAAGATTGGGAAATAAGAGGTAACTAAAGACAAGGATGCGTGTTTCTGCTGAAGCGTGACAGAAGGACTTGAGTGGAATTAGGAGCACAGAACTAGAAGGGCATTAACTGACTTTGAAATTGTACATTAGCTATTGATATATTTTATTTGTATCGCAGCATATTATTTCACCCTGAGGATAGACAGGAGGTAAAACAAGGAGAAGCTTTTGTTCTTTCAACTTTTTTTTTTCTCTTTTTATAACATTCTGAGTCATCTCCCATAAAATTGTTTTTGACTGTCACCACATACGGTTTCTCCGGTCACGCTCTGCCTCATTTTATATGTGAGCCAAAGTTTAAGAAGGATGAATCTGGAAAAATCATGGATGGACAACATTGGAACCACCTTTCCATATGACTTCCATTTGTCAACAATCTCTAAAACTGTGAGAGATTTTTTATTAGATCAAACCTAATGAGCATATACAATAAGAACATATTTGGTGAAGTTAATTTGGTAAATACAAATGGGTATTTGTATTCTTCATATAGAGGGCAGTTTTATGTCCTAATTTAAGAATTGTTTTTCTTAATGCAATTACTTGATCATGAAGCAAACTTTAATGAAATTAAAGTATACTGTAGCAAACTGGACTCTACAGAAAAAGTACTCCGTAAAGGGCCTCTTTCTTTTTCCCAGTAGCACCTAAAACAGAAACTAGATGCTTGAGGAGAGTCATTACATAATTTGAGGGTGAAAAGAGGACGAACGGTAAATGGCGATGAGTCCTGTCAACTATTATCTCTAACAGAGAGGTATTAAGATGGAGTTGAAAATACAAAGAAATCAGAATATGGCATCTTGGGTTAATCATTAGCCGTATCATCCAAAGTACTTTGATTTTTGGGAGACTCAGTGAGCATATCAAAGTCTCAGTTCCTTCACCCAAAGGTGGAGCTAGCAATACGTGCAGAGTTCACGTGAGGTACAATATGAAGAGTTCTGTGATGTTTCTATTCTTTTAAACAATATCAAACATCTTCCTTTTGTCAACTTTGATGGGACCTGTGAAGAGTTGTAGAGATGAAAGGGGCGTTATCTTTGCCTTTAAAAAGTTCATGATTTCAGGGCACCTGGATGGCTCAGTTGGTTAAGCTTCTGCCTGTTGATCTTCACTCAGGTCATGATCTCAGGGTTGTGAGATAGAGCCCCACGTGGGGCTCCCCACTGAACATGGGGCCTGCTCGAGATTCTCTCTCTCCCTCTCCTCCTGCTCCCCCCACCCCCACTTGTGAACATGCACATGTCATGCTCCCTCTCTCTCTGCCCCCCACCAAAAAAAAAATAGTTGATGATTTCATTTTTCTGTCAGGACCCTGGGAACTAAATTAAGCAACAAAACAATTCCAGTCGCTTTATTCATGTTCAGGGTCCTCATTTCAAGGAAGATACAGACCACGGCTTGGTCCTGGAGAGGCCATTGCATGCGTAGGCTTTGGCAGGATGTTCATCCCATCATTTCTCATTGTTTGAGTTCTTCAGTGCCCTTCTACTGGCCTCTAGTTGCAATGACACAGGTTCTCTGCATCTCATTTGTGTCCTCTCTTTAACACACCACTGTCCCTCATTGGCTGTTGCCAGTTTTCTTAATACCATTGTTTCCCCTTTTTTCCCTTTTTTTTTTTCATTTGTTCAGGTAGGAGAGTAAATGTAATCCCTGTTATTCAGTCTTGGTTAGAAATGAAATCTAATCTCATTCTAAGACAATTAAATATTATATTTAAAGTACATACCAGTTGAAAGAAATATGTTGTGATATATATTTTATATATACTATATATGTTTGCATATATATATATATTTGCACTTATAATTTGCTGTGAGGATACTGTTTGTGAGCCCAGAATCAAAGCTTTATTTTTCCACACCATTCAGTTTCACACTCCCTGATTATTCTTCTGGATCTTTTCCACTGCTAAGGAAAGAACTTCACACATCACCTATTCCAATTTCCTCATGTGATATATTAAAAATATACACTATATAAAAATCAATTTAAATTAGAGAACAGCCACGTAGGTAATATACGTGCCTATGCTTCCTCCAACAGAACATGGAAATGACTAAGATGTGCCATTTACCTTGGAATTCTTTCTTTGACAAGCGCACTGCTAAGGATGCTCATTTCACCCATTTACAAAAGTTTCTTTAATAGTTTTTATCTTTAAGATAGGTTCTCAGTGCTATTTAAGAGGTTTAGGCTTTGGGATTTTTTCATCAGAGAAGACAAGAGAGGAGCACATGGGTGGCTCAGTTGGGTAAGCGTCTGCCATCAGCTCAGGTCATAATCCAGGGGTTCTGGGGTCAAGCCCCGCATCAGGCTCCCTGCTCAGCAGAGTCTGCTTTTCCCTCTGTTCCTCCCCCTGCTCATGCTCTCTCTCTCTCTCTCTCTCTCTCTTTCTCTCTTTTCTCTCTCTCTGTCAAATAAATAAATAAAACTTTAAAAAAAGAATAGAAAAGAAAAGAGAACCTTGGATATACTACTGAGGAAATGTAAAACTATTTTGCCTTGGATAGAATTACGGAACATATCCAAGTGCTAGGAAAATGAGTATCTAACACATTTCTAAATTGCTGTAAGAGGTATTTGTTCAGTGTCCTGTGGCTACTGTAACAAATCACAAAGAAAAATGTGATGGTTTAAAATAGCAGAAACTTATTTTCTAACATGTCTAGAGACTCGAAATCTGAAATTTCACAATACCGTACTGTCTCTGGGAGTTTTAGGGGGAAAATATGTTCCCTGCATGCCTCTTTCACTTTCTGGTGGTTGTGGGAATATTTCTAAGTCTCTTGTCTCTACTTTCATCTCCAAGAAAAGAAGAGAACCTTCAACACCAAACTCTGCTAAATCTGATCTGGGAATTTTCAGCCTCAGGAATTATGAGAAAATATTCTGTTGTTTAAGCCCCCCAGTCTATGGTATTTTGTTATGACAGCTTAATTGGACTAAGACACCAGGTAATTTCCTCTTCCCTTAATTTCATCCTTAATTTCATCACATCCTTTACCCTATAAGGATGGTATTTGTTTTGCCATTGGACGTAACATATATTTTTGTGGGGCTCCATTGTATACCAGATAGCCTATTAAGTAGAAAATCTGTCATTGTTTTCATTTTTAGCTAAATGATAGTTTATTTTCAATGTATAATTTAAAAAGTCACAAATATCACGGTTTACGATTAGAAAATAAATATAGTTTCAGCGGTATGCCATGACCCACATTCCTGCTTGTACCCATTTCCCTCTTGGTTTTTCACTTTTTCTTTTACTGAGGCATAATTGACAAAGAACATTATATTAGTTTCACTTATACAACATAATGATTTGATATTTGTATATGTTGCAAAAGGATCGCTGCAATAATTTCTAGTTAACATCTGTCACCATACATAGTTACAAAATCATTTTTTCTTGTGATGAGAACTTTGAAGAGTTATTCTCAGCAACTTTCAAATTTTGCAATGCACTATTATTGACTGTAGTCACCATGTTGTACATTAAAGACTCTTGCTTAACTTTTTTATTTTATAACTGAAAATGTATATTTGACCTGCTTCACCCATTTTGCCCACCACCCAATCCCCACCTGTGGCAATCGCCAATCTGTTCTCTGGATCTGTGAGCTTATTTCTTGGTTATATTTTTCGTATTTTGCTTTTAGTGAGAACATAGTGCTTCTCTTTTTCTGTGTGACTTGTGTTACAAACGTAATATTCTCCAGGCCCAACCATGTCACTGCAAATGGCAAAATTTCATTCTATTTATGGCTGAATATTATATATATATATATATATATATATATATATAATATTATATTTCCATCTTTATCCATTTATCTATAGTTGGACATTTAAGTTGTTTCTATGTCTTGGCTATTGTAAATAATGCTGCAATGAACATGGGCGTATATATATATCATTTCAAGTTAGTACTTTTGTTTTCTTCAGAGAAATACCCAGACTTGGATTATTTGATAGTTCTATTTTTCATTTTTTGAGAAAATTTCGTACTGTTTCC